AGTTTGCAAATAAAATAATTGAAAAAGAAATTCACTTCTTTCAGTCACTTCCACAACAGCACAAGCAACTATATTTAGGGATTAGCATTTTACCTTGATTTTTCAAATTGTATTAAGCCAGTATTTCCTGAATGGGACCTGGAACACTCATGGTTGCAGGATCACATAGCACACATTTGGAACATACAAGGCTGCTCCTTACCCAGTGCATGTAAAACTTACCGTATTAGAAAGCCTGCTGATCCGCCCACTCCATACCTTGGGGTAAGGATCTGTGCAAACTGCCTAATCGTTAAAGGCAATCAAGCAAAAAGAACATCTGCCTGGCCAGGTGGACAATAAAGATCGCATAGCACTATTCAAAAAAAGAAGGGAGTTTCTGGCCAACAATCCCCAAATAAAATTGGTCACTCACTTCATGGCTATTTGTGGGTCATTACTGTATGCAAATTGGTTGCCATGTTCACCCACAAAGTGCACACAGTCACATCACTGTACGGTGTATTCTGTTAAACGTTTTGAGAAGTCGCAACAATTTGATATGATGCTATATCAAGTGCAAGGATTGTTATTGTTATTAGTATTCAATCATCATCATCCCCACTGTCCCACCCTAAATGAAATGAACTTCAGTGTTGACTCAATTTCACTCAATTTCAAAAATAAGGGACAAAACTCTGCTTTTATAGTATGAATTCTATGAATTAGGAAACTTGGATTTCGGGTGAAACTAACATTTACTGAAGCTTCACTGGATAACGAGTTGGCATCACTAGACCGTCACCTCAGCTCCTGGTAGGTTAATCACAAAGTGTCAGTTGTCACCTGCCACTCTCTAAACCAGAATAATGGCTTGGGCTGTTCCAAAGAAGAAAAAATAGGGCCAACACACTTAAAAAACTTTCTTTGGTCTTTTGAAGAAAAGTACAATTTCTGACTGAAAAGTATCAAGTTAGTGCACATTGAGTTAGGTGTTGAATATATAAATAATAGATCAGATTTCTATTTCACTGGGCTAATCGTCATTATGGTAAATATCACATTAAATTTACTGATTCAGAGACGGTACAAGTGTTTGGTTGAAACAGCAGCTGAATTATTCAAACAGTCAGATAGTGTACTGGAGAGAGCTCCAATATTCATGCCAGCTGTCTTGCAGTAGATTACTAGCATAAAATGTATTAAACATGTTCTAGAAAGTTATCTGTTTTATAATATTCATTTCAATACTTAAGAGATGGAATTCTAAATTTCAATTGCATTTCCAAATGCATTATTTATCTGATGTAACCCAAGGCCAGGAGAGACCCACGTATTGTATGATAGAGCTGTAATAAATTACTTAGGAGTCTTTCGTCTAGTGCAGGTAGGGCAGATATCCTATTAAACAAAACTTGAAGACTAGCTGATGACAATGAAGCTCTCGGTGATGATATGCCTCAATTTCTCTGATTTAGCATTTGTAACATCTGCATTAATTTAATTTAAAGTGCCGTGCCCTTGATTTAATGTTTACCTGCGGCATAAAGGACTTCCATTTAATAGTGCGCAACTATACATTTTTGAAAAATAAATTACATCACTTAAGGGATTTGTCTCCCAGAGCACTGATACTTTTTCTGTTTTATATACTTTTACAACCTCTTTTCCTTCAACTCCTCAAGTGAATACTGCATTGCACAAAAATTACAACATATTTCAGGCTCAGTAAAATTTCATTCATGCATTTTTAAATACTTAGCATATGCATTTCCATTTCCCTTGAAAATAAAGAGTAACCTTGTATATTATTTAGAGTTGTATACCAAGCAACATTCTAAACATTCTTTTTTTGGAGGTGAGATAGTGTAACGAGGGAGAGAAAGGGATTTTTTATTTAGCATTAGAAATCTTTAAAAATTACAAATTAAAGATTAGAAATTCTTCAAAAGAAAAACTATTACATTATTGTACTTTAACCAAAAAGCTATTGTTATTCCTCTGGGTGCACTACGCACTTAATTCTGTGGGTATTTCAAAAAAGCACTTTACAGATTAACCTAAAAAAATCTGATACTCTTGCAATTCCCAACTGAAGCATTCCAGAAATCACCAAAGCAATAAACAGCAAATCAAACTACTTCCAAGCACAATGTTGTTATAACTACACACCTAAACTGTAATGAACTGTTGGCATAATGGCATAATCAACAACCAAAAGGAGCACAAAACTTGACCTCTTTGTTGTGTTTGATACTGCCGACCACTCTATGCTCCTCCACCGCCTCTTTTCACCTCCACCGTCCTATCCTTGACTGGTTCGGATCCTACCTTTCACACCATCTCCACTTTGTCTCTATAAATGACTTCTCCTCCAGCCCCCATACTGTCTCGTGCGGTGTTCCTCAGGACTCTGTCCTCGGTCCTCTCCTCTTCAACATGTACATGGTCCCTCTTGGTGACGTCATCAGCAGACATGGGGTCAGCTTTCACATGTATGTGGATGACGCCCAACTCTATCTCTCTGCCTCCACTCTTGACTCCAGGACCATTGCTGTCCTGACAGAATGTCTGTCAGACATCAAGTCCTGGATGAGAGCTAATTTTCTATAGTTGAACGTCAACAAGACTGAGGGTCTCCTAATTGGCTCCTGTCAGCGTCTCCTCACCTCAGGCGCTGACAGCGTCACCATCCATGGTTGTACACTCCACCTTGCTAAGCCAGTCCGGAATTGATGTCTTATTTGACCCTCAACTGTTCTTTCTACCCCACATCTGTGCCATGACCAGCTATGCCTTCTCCACCTCCGCAACATCGCCCAGCTCTGCCACTGCCTCACCCCTCAGGCCGCCAAAACCCTCATTTACATATTTATTACATCTGTGCTCGAATACGCCAACTCCCTGGTTATCAGCCTTGCCAACTCTTCCATCCAGAACTCTGCAACTCGTGTCTTCTCCCGCACCAGCTTCCATGACCCTATCATGGCCCACCCTAGCCCGGTTCCACTGGCTCCCCAGGGGACAGAGTTCAAAATCCTAGTCCTTGCCTTCAAAGCCCTCCACATCCTTGCTCCCTCCTACCTCTGTGACAACAGCAACAAAAATTACGTTTGTATAGTGCCTTTCACGTCGGGAAGATGTCCCAAGGCGCTGGACAGTCTGTGTTTCGGATCCGAGCTGGGGGTCGCGATTGGAGAGGATGGAAGGCGGGGTGGGGGGGGGGGGGTGGAGAAAGGAAGGTGACCGAAGGCCAGTTGAAGAAGAGGGTCTTGAGATGGGTTGAAGAAGGCAAGGGAGGGGGCGAAGCGGAGGGATAGCGGGATGGAGTTCCAGAGGGTGAGGGCAGAGCGGCTGAAGGCCCACCCACCAATGGTGGGGCAGGCGGGGCACATGAACCAGGACGGAGCCGGATGAGCGGAGGGAATGGGTAGGTTGGTATGGGGGATAGTAAGTCACAGAGGTAGGGGAGAGCAAAGCCATGGAGGGCTTTGAAAGTAAGGACCAGGATCTTGAACTGTATCCTCTGTGTGATGGGAAGCCTGTAGAGTCGGGTGAGGATGGGGGTGCGGGAGCCTGGTGCGGGAGAGGACACCTGCTAACACCATATCAACTCGACTGCTCCCTTCGCTCCACAGGCCTGCTCCACGTTCCCCTCCAGGCCCACCCCACCATCAGTGGTCACACTTTCAGATCCAACAACAATTTTGATTTATATAGTGCCTTTTATGTCAAGAGGTTGTCTCAAAAAGCTTCCTGAGATAGAACAGGTTTAGGGGTGCAAAGGCAATTTCAGGGCAGAATCAGGAAATATTTCTTTCATAATAATAATCCTTGCACTTTGATATAGCGCCTCATCACGTTGTCTCAAAGTGCTTCAGAGATTATATTGTAACAACAACAAAATAACAACAAAATTACATTTGTAAAGCGTTTTTCACATTGGGAGGGCATCCCAATATCCCTTGTAAAGTGGATTGACTGTATTTTGTGGGCGAAACCTGGCAGCCAATTCCGCACAGCAGTCTCTCACAAACAGTTGACCAAATTATTATTTCAATAAAACTCACAGATTTACTGGATTATCAATTTTTTTTTGAGGGATTACTAGTCCCAGAAAGTGATGTGCCAGTTGACTAACAACCTAATGTTTCCCAGGGGGTAATTAATGTCTGGACCAAGAAGGATGATTAGAGCCAGTGTGCTGGACTCATTTTAAAAAAAGTTTGATGATAGCGTAGGACAGCAGTAGATATAATGGATGAGATCAAATGGGCCAAAGGGTATTCATCATCCAAATCTCTCTTGTGATCTTATGTTAACAACTCATACTGCCCTCATCTACTCATACCCCACTTCTCATGCAAAGTCAATCATCCAATTTTCCAAGAGAAAAGTGTGTTAAAACCATAATATAAATTAAAAAGAAACATGGAATTGCTTTCCTATTTGCGGTAAACAAAAGGAACGGATTTATAAATCTTGGTAATTTGCCATCATCAAACTATCAACCGTGAACATTTGCAGACCAGGCTCAAATAATAATAATAATCCTTGCATTTGATATGGTCTCTTATCATGTCTTCGAGACATCTCAAAGCGTTTCACAGAATATACCATAAAGTGAATTGACTGTATATTTTGTGGGTGAAACGCAGCAGCCAATTGCGCACAGCAGTGTCCCACAAACAGTCATGGATTGAAGTGACTAATTTATTATTATTATGTTTTGAAGGAATTATTACCCCTGGAAAAGCGATCCGCCAATCGACTAACAACCGGGTTCCTACTTGCTGCTAAGTAAACAGAGGCGTGTGTGTGGAGTGAGGAAACTTGCTCAACGTTTTGCCCCGCTGGGAATCGAACCCAGGTCTCTCGCTTGAGAGGGGAGTGCTGTAACCACTATGATACAGGACTCCACCCACAAATACAATCAATATATAAAATATATATGACAAATATAATACAGCAGAGGTTCAGCTATATATTTTAGTCCATTGAATTCAGAAACCCAGCAGAGATAAGCATTTTGCATCAGTTTTAATTGCGTCTCTTAGATGCACAATTTTACAAACATAGAAAACACTCCAGAATAAAATATCATTGCACCCTCGCTAAAAAGCTAGCCCTGATTTTCCCTCCTCTGATCCCATATGCTAAGTTGGATGCAAAGTCACAGAGAGGAAATAAAAACTATTTTGCTACCCAGCTACAGAGGACCAAATTGCTATCTGAAAACTAAGTTAATATGATTTGTGTGCATCCTTAGCTGCCATTTTCTGAATTACAAAAAAAGAACTGGACATTTCTTATGCAAGGTTCTATAGACATTAAATAATTTCTCCAGTGGTCTTTGTAAAGTTGTCTTTTTTTGTAATGAAGTGAATAAATGGAAATGTTATGTCCTACTTTATGTTACTCTCCATGCACAATGCTAACAGTTAGTTAGCGGAGGAAGGTCAAGTACAATTGCATGTTATGATCAATTTTGATGCGGTTCTATTGTTTTAGAAATACAGCTGAAATCCAACGCTAGTTAATGAGGTCAATTTTTGTAGGAGTTTTTTTAAACTAAAATAATCTAAGTAGGGTCTTCTTCTGGTGGCTGGAAGCGCAGTATATCACAAACATCACTCTGACTCCAGGGACACATAATTAGAAAATAAATGTTGTTGGAGCATCTTCCTGCTGCAAAATATACTGCATTGTTCCTTCATTTCAAATTAGTTGGCTAATTTCTTGTGGTACCTTTTGTCAATTCAGTCATAATATTTTAAAGAATTTATCTTGAAAGCAAAGTAATGGATTTGAAATTTGCATCCACACTTTTTAAATGCAATTGTTATTATCCTTTATTCTAGTTAGAATACATTTCTATTTACAATAATGTAAGTAGTATATAGGTCAATGAGCTCCACACTTCACAATTTTCGGATTGGGTAGAACATATTCCACTGTGACAATCAAGTGTCTCATGTATGACAGTTACTTTAGTTCGAAGCAGATTCAGCAGCCCCCTTTCTGTAAAATGGTCTTTGGAAGTCATATAAATTGCTATAGCAGAATGTCAATTACATAATTCCTATATAAACGAGAGCCATAAACAAACATTACTGTAGATTCTTTGGTACATTAGAATGTGTTGCAGTAATAGGAGATGACAAACTGGCATACAAATATTATTGGAGGGGGAGAGGGGGGGTGGACAACCAAAGCTATTTAGTACAGATTCTATCAGCTCATTCATTGTTCAATCTTGATTCAGTTTATATATGAATGACAAGTTATTTAAGTTGTTCGTAAAACAATATTCCACTTGAAGACAAACATTTAAGGTATTTAGTTATAGCAGATTTCAACAACATATTTCATTGAATGTTAGGCACTATATCAATTTCTGGAAGTTGGAATAGAAATCAACAATGATTTTACTATCATATTGCTAGTTAATTTCTTAGTGATAACAGTACTTCTTAAATGGGAGGTCCTCTGATAAGTTCATCAATTTTTGTGGGAGTTTTGTGTGAGAGTTAACAGGATTTCTGATAAATTCACCAAATGGTTTCTTCTGCTGACCACATAAAAATTAATTTTATTGTATTTTAAGATTTCTTAATTAAGAAATACTGCAAAATTAACCCCACAGAATGATAATATTATACTACCTACACTGAGGCACAATCCTGGGTGAACACAGCGTAACAAAATAACTACTGTAATGATTAAAATAAGCAGAGAAAAAAAAATTAAAACCAATCCTTAGCAGTGTACTTGGAAAGCCACATATTGCATTACTATATTGATGCTACTTCCTCCCAAGCAAGAGATTGATTTTCACCACCGCAACCTCTCCACATACTTAGCAGTTTGCTCAAACCTCGCCTGAAATGTATCAGCTTGAACTATTGCGACAAATGAACTGAACTGAGAAACGTTAGGTAAATTGACAAAAAAAAATTCTATGTAGACAACATGTCAAGTCCAAACAAATTAAATTACTTTGCAATTTAACTGAAAAGAGTTGAGATAAATGTGGAAAGCTAGATTTTAGTCTTTTCTTCTTCCTTTTGGTTTTATCGCTTGTAGTGATTTGGTGCATCTGCAAATGCATATTTTAGCCTGTAAGCCTCTGCCAGGAGAACGCTGATCTCCTCATTACCCCAGTGCATCGTCGGTAAGTTTTGTAGAAGAATCATCAGTCCCTGTAACAAATAAAACAAAAATTATCGAACAGAACTGGCAAATAACTACTCAAACCACAAAATAAAGTTGTAACATCAATGATTTGGGGGACATTTAGGCAATTGAGATGCACAAACCAAATCTACAAATCCATTGGATATACATAATTGATTGTGGAATACGTGGCTTGGGTACGAACCAAATAGTTAATCTAGAGAATCATAAATCAACTCTGTAGAAATAGTAGATGATAAGTAAAGCTGAATTTATACAATGTTGTCAACAGAAAATAAGAAACATATTGAGGGCCAATATTGCAACTTGATGTGTAAAAAAATTGAACCTAATCTGATATGTGCCAAGAGACTACTCTGGCCACAGTCTAATATCTCAGAAGTGGTATTAGTGAATGCATACAGTGCAATGTTTTTTTCTTCTTTTTCATTCCCTACGACTAACTACATTTATAATAATCCTTGCATTTGATATAGCACCTTTCACATTGGCAAGGCATCTCAAAGCACTTCACAAGATTTAATGTGAAGTGTAGTGACTGTGTAGGCAAGCGTGACAGCCAATTTGTGCACAACAATGCTATCAAGTGAATGACAAATATTCCATGGATCAGCAGCTATAATAATTGTTTGTTGATGGCTCATCTTTGAAAATGGAAATTTTTGACTGAATTCACAGTGGCGGATGCAACCTTTTCACCATTATGCTTTTCTTTGCAGCTTGTTCTTTTGCCGATCTGGTAATTGGCGTTTCTCTATACTTTTCTCTCCCTAAAATTTGACTTTGGTTTCTTGGTTTTGCTGTAGTTCATTAAAGCCCTAGACAGATTGAAAGATTCTGAAGTGATCACAATTCTCTGACACTAAAGACCAAAACAACTTTGCAATCATAAAAGCTTCTTGGAGCAGAATGAAACTATTAAATAGTATGAAAGTATACTTTCATACTATTTAATAGTTCTATCATCGCTTTCTATGCTGATATGATACATACAGAATATATTCTAATTGAAGAGAGAGTTACTGTATTTTATCTCACCATTATATATATGGGTAGAATATATGGGTAGAATATATTGTGAGCTGTCAAGAGCTTTTCCCTTTACCTTGTTCTAATAATCACCACTAGCTGTCAGCGAATTTGCTAAAGAAGCATTAAGGATCAAGGACAGTTAAATCCAACCCAAGACTAGTGGACCATAGGATAGTCTCATCCTATTGTATTGCACAGGCGTTATATACTGGGAAACATCTCAATTAGTTTATGCTTTATACTGTTGAGATCACAGATTAAAAAACTGTACCATAAAATTCACCTGTGGAAGCTGAAACATGTAATTAACTTCAAATGTAGAATTAGACGTTGGGCTTTCCATACAACTAATACAAATAATAATCCTTGCAATTGATAAAGCATCTTGTATGTTGTCAAAAGTGCTTCACAGGATTTACTGTAAAGTGTAATGTCTGTATATTTTGTAGGCAACATGGCAGCCAATTTGTGCACAGCAATGTCCCACAAACAAAGTGACTAAGTAATTTAGCTGGGGGATTGCTAAGACTGTCACCGAGCCTTTGCAGGCTGACACTCCAATGCAGTGCTGGGGGAGTGAAGTGAACAAAAATAGGACATAAAAAGAACAGCCTACATTATTTTTTTAAAAAATCATAAGCAACTTCAAGACATAAGCCTTGAAAATTCTGATGCCTGGTTATAAATGGTTTATGTTTTGATCTCACTTTTTATGCTGTCATCAAAAGACCTCGATTAGATATAATCATTCCCAGATGTTCAATTTTCTTAATGCAATCTGTATAGTGTCATTGTGTAGTGCTTCACAAGACAAGCGCTTGGGTAGGCAGTGAAAGAGAAAACAGGTTATAAATGATTACATGAAATGTATTTAAAAATGATGTTATCTTACATTGAAACCATCTGCCCTGTGAGTAAACATCTTAATAATAGATTGTTTAGCATCAACTCTGTACCTGGAATAAGAGGCATACTTAGGGAGAACGCCAGTGCAGTAATCTAGTTGTCTAGTCGTAATACAATAATTTTAATAGAATAGCCCAACATGTGCAGACCCAGAAAACCAACAGGAATGGGTTAGAACAAATAGATTCTCATAATCATATTGTTCAAGGGAAGAAACACAGACTATTATATTAAATGATAAAATCCTTCCATTGTACAATTTGATGATAAAGTGTTCGTATGAACAAATGCAGAATTCAGTTCTCAATGGATTACATTTTAGTGCTCTTTAAACTCAGATCCTAAGTGAATTGTACCTGGTTAATAGTATTACTTGATAAAATGCAATGTTTGATAATAAGTGCTTCAGTTAATCTCCCACACAAAGTACCTGTGGGGGAGTTTTTATGCCATTACAATACTTCTCCTGCAATATTAACTGGTCCATTGAATGAAGAGAAAAAGCAATCAGAGAAGCAAAAGTAGAAAGACCTAAAAGACTAGGATTAGACATTTGGATAAACCAAGAAGGCACTTAGCATACAAAATGTGAATAAAGCTTTCATGCTAACTGAAGGAAAATGTATATTGGAATAAAATGTATATAGCCTTCATTTGAAGGTTTCATTTGGAGTGACACAGTCACTCCACATCACAGTAAATCCACAAACTGTGCCACCTTCTGAAGAATCTTGCATGGGTTCAAGGAAGGGAGAGATATGTATAAGATAAACTGTAAAAGATTTTTGATGGGTGAGAATTTATGTTACTGCTATGCATTATTCACTGTCACCAATTATAATTTTTAAAGACTTTTTGAAAGCTTTTAAATTAATAAGTGCTAACAACTCACAGAAGCACACTGTGACAGCTTCTCCTATAAACCTGAACTGCACCCACTTTCAGATGACACAACCTTCCTTTTATTATAAATCGCTTTTTCAGCTAAGCTCGAGAATTTACTCGCACTTCATCATACGACAGACCCAGGGCAGCAAATAATCAATCCAACACATCTTTGTTTTGGCATCATTTGATGGGTAAGAGAAGGACACTAAGCTCCTGCTATGTTCAGCATTCTCTCCTTGTCTGAATCTCAATTCCCAGCAGTACTCTTCAGATATGTACCAAAAGGTTTAATCTTCTGCCAACCTATATACCTACGTAGTGGGCTGGGTAGGAGCAATATATACTGATTTACAAAGCTGTTTGACAATTGTTTCGCAAAAGATGCAATTAAACAAGACATGAAACTAGTATCAACTTTGAGCATGAGAATACATCCTGTGCATGTATTGTGTTCATTTGTACTGTGACAATATAAAGTGTACAGCTGTGGTACGATATAACTATAACCTAGAAAGTCTAAATTCCACAAAAGTAAATGCCATGAAATCTGATTCTGATCACTTGCCAGTGTGTGGACAATGATGGCTTCCCTTGAATGTGACTTAGTTGGACTCAATAAAACACTCACAATTAATCAATTTGCAAGAAAATTACAAGCATATACAACAACAACTTGCACTTATATAAAGCCCTCCACGCAGGCTAGCGTCTCAGAGTGCTTATTAGTGGCGGAGCCTGACTCTGATGGGGGAGGTGGCCATAAGTACGGTCGAAGAGGAAAGTTTTCATGGGGTCTTGAAAGAGTGGAGAGAGGGGCCAACGGGGAGGGATTGAGGGAGTGTTGCAGAGTTCCAGATATACGATCTAACGTCCACCACTGCATGTTTTTGAAGGTTTTGATTACAATGTCCACCAAAGAAGCTTCAAAACCTTGCATTCCAAGAAATCTGAATTATGTTTTTACCATAAAAGTGACTTATTTGAATGACATTAGCACACATCAAAACATATAGTTAGAGCATGGTAGGTACCACTCTGCTATTGTGTAGGTGTTTATTCACATATAAATGATACAAAAGGCACTCAGGGTGCAGACAATTGTGAGTATTTCTTGGTGCATCAACTATATTGAGAAGCAGATTTAAAACACGATAAACATTAATGGAGGATAGAGGAAAACCAGCTGAGTTTGACAGACATTTTTCATTTTCCGAGTCCCACATGCAGATTTATGGTTTCCTCTCTGCAGTTACTCCCTGATGTACTCAGAAGCTAGGTCACTAAAGTATCTTCTGGTAGAGGATGCAAAGTTAATGATGTTAATGGAACTATTTTCCACAAAGTATATTTATGAAATAAATTTTGGTAGCACATAGAGGGCCAGAGTGCTTTCATACCTAGCATACTCCTTCCTACACTGCACTCCTGTCAAATTATGAGCATACACAATTTATGCTAAAAGTGCATACGTTATCAGTACATTATCTATTTGTAGCTCATCTCTGAATTTTATACTTTAGGCCCCTTTGTACTTTTTCAAATGGTAGCAACTCATTACTTGGGAGAGCTGAGAAGTATCTTATGAAAACACACCTTGTATGGGTACCATTAAAGTGGATCAGATATCATCGGAGTCCTGTAGCTCAGTGGTTAGAGCACTCGCCATGCAAGCAAGACACCTGAGTTCAATTCCAGGCAGGGCGAAACCTTGGGCAAGTTTCCTTACTCCACACGCCTAATAATAATCCCTCCAAAAAAACAAAACAATAATAAATTGGTCATTTTCAATCCACAACTGTCTGTGGGACACTGCTGTGCGCAATTGGCCGCCGACAATTTGCTTTACAGCATATTCTGTGAAGCGCTTTGAGACGTCTAGAAGACATGAAAAGTGCTATATCAAATGCGAGGATTATTATTATTGTTATCAAAAATATCTTGAATTAAAAATAACAACAATCCAGGATGATGTCTCTAAGTGCTTCACAGGTTATGCTGTAAAGTGTAATGGTTGTGTATTTATAGTCGAGAAATTATAAATGTGTCACATAAAGAAAATAGCAAATAATCAACCACGGATATGATGAAGTGAGAGCACACAGAGAGAGACTGAATCATTACTGAGTCATTTCTCATCTAATTTTCCAGAAAGAACTGCAAAATCTTTATATGCAGCAGC